AGGGGGGGGAGAGGCCGACGAGGCGGTCCAGGGGCCTCCGGGGCCGTGAGCTTCCTCCAGGGGGCACAGGGGCCGACCGCTCTGGCAGTCGGGTCCTTCCACGACATGCTCCCTGAGATCCTGGCGCTGTCGCCCATATCCCAGACCCCCGAGGGTCATGAAAAGATCCCGACGAGCGGCTTGTGGCGATCTCGGGCCTCTGGGGGCCCTCGCCAGGCCCGGGACCGTCAGAAAACGACTCGGGAGGAAGAACCGGTCCTGGGGAAGGGGGGCCTACGTTATGAATAAATCACAACGTCGGCGGCTCGAAGAATGCCCCAGAAAGATGGGGTCTAAGGCTCCGGAGGGGACTTCTCACGGTGTATCGTTTCTTCGCGCCGTGGGATCTCACATCCTGTTCTGAAGCCGAAAGACATGTTCCGCGAGAGGAAATAAAAGCTGTGCTCTTAGAACGCACAGACGAGGCAGTGCAACAAGACCGTGTCAGCTGGGCACGTTCTGAGAACATCTCGTGCGAACCGCAGCCACGTGGTGGGCCTGTATGAAGGGGCCCTGGGACATACAAATAAATACACACAAATAAAAGGATTCCCCATATTTTCTTATATTTTCAAAGTTTCTGTCTTCCCCGCCACTGCCCATATTTTCACATATTTCCTGGGGATCGACGATTCATCGTGTCTGTGTTTTTTCCCCTCCCTGACTGTACACCGGACTCACTTCTATAGCGCTCACTTCTATAGTGCTCACTTTGAAATTGTGGTCCGGAAGGGGCCGCACATGCAGGCACATGCCGCACAGTCGCATGCACATGCCCATGCAAATATAAAAAAGCCTCAACAGCATTGCCGCACATGCGCGCCCATGCCACACCGTCCGACGCACAGTCGAATGCACGGTCAAGCAAAACTCTGAAAGCATAGACGCACATGCCCGCACATGCCGCAGAGATGTCGCAGGCGATAGTGGCCTGACCACCTGAGCTCGGGGCATTTCGCAACCCAGAGTTCCGAGGATGTCTCAGGCAAGCGTGGCCGGATCACCATGGGGCAGGGCATCTTGGAAACCAGAGTGGCGAGGATGTCGCTGGTCAAGGTGACCAGACGACCATGGGGCAGGACACCTCCGAGGTCTGAGTTGTGAGGATGTCTCAAGCGAAAGTGGCCTGACCACCATGGGGCAAGAGATCTCTGAGGTCAGAGTTGCGAGGATGTCTCTGGGGAGAGTGGTCTGACCACCTCAGCCCAGGGCATCTCGGAGCCCAGAGTTGCGAGGATGTCTCAGGCAGGACTGGCCTGACCACCTGCTCAGGGCATCTCAGAACCCAGAGTTGCGAGGGTCTCAGGCGAAAAAGGCCGAGACACTATGGAGCAGGGCATCATTGAGGTCAGAGTTGCGAGGATGTCTCAGGCAAAAGTGGCCTGAACAGCTCAACTCAGGGCATCTCGGGCGAGGATGTCTAAAGCGAAAGTGGTCTAACCACCTCAACTCAGGGCGTCTCGGAACCCAGAGTTCCGAGGATGTCTCAGGCGAAAGGGGCCGAGACACTATCGAGCAGGGCATCATTGAGATCAGGGTTGCGAGGATGTCTCAGGCGACAGTGGCTGACCACCTCAGCTCGGGGCATATCGGAATCGAGACTTGCGAGGATGTCTCAGGCGACCGTGGCCTGACCAGCATGGGGCAGGAGATCTCTGAGGTCAGAGTTGCGAGGATGTCTTAGGCGAAAGTGGTCTAACCACCTCAGCTCAGGGCGTCTCGAAACCCAGAGTCCCGAGGATGTCAAGCGAAAGTGGCCGGGCCACCATGGGGCAGGGCATCTCCGAGACCAGAGTTGCGAGGGTGTCTCAGGCGAAGGTGGCCAGATCACTTCATGTCAAAGCACGTCGGCCTCCAAATTGCCGACGACGTCTCACGCGGAACTGGCCGGACGCGAACGCGCCGGCGTCCGGAGACGAACGCCGGCCCCGGCATTCTTGCACGTCCCGCACATGCACTGCACAGGTACGCACAGTATTCGCACAGGCCGGGCTCGCAGGTGGCCGAGCCAGGCCAGCGATTCCGAGATTCCCTGAGCTCGGGCCGTCAAGCCACTTTCGCCTGAGACAGCCTCGCAACTCTCACCTCCTCCTCCTCTTCCTCCTCCTCTTCCTCCTCTTCCTCCTCCTCCTCCTCCTCCTCCTCCTTCTCCTCTGGCCGAGCCGAACAGGCAGGCTGGCCAGTGGCCGGGGGCGCCCGCCTCCTCCGCCCCCCCCTCCTCCCCCCCCCCTCCACCTCCCCCCCCCCCATCCCTGCTTCTCCGGCCGAGCTGAGAAGGCGCGCGGGAGAGTATTTTATTAGGCGGGCGCGCCACCGCCAGCTCACGAACCGGGCGAATAACCGCCCCCGCCAGCAGCGGGCGAGTCTAAACGCACAACAAACTCTTTCAGGAAGCCCTGGCACGCCCCAGGTTAGCTCTGCGAAGGCCAGGAGGCATTGGAGGCACAGGGGTCCCAGACAGCTCCTAGGGCATGAGCGTGCATGTGCATTGGGATGTGCACGCATGTGCGCCCGCGCGCTTCACCGCATGTGCGTGCATGTGCGGGCCCGCGCGGCCTCCCGAAGAGAGGTTGCACAGGCATGTGCGTGCATGTGCCGATGACAGATCTGCGATTCTCGAGCACCTCCCGCATGTGCAGGCATGTGCGCCGGACTGTGCGTGCATGTGCGTATGATGGATACATCAAAACACAGCGCACATGCCCCCGCACATGCCCGGGCACGACGTGCACAATAGGAAGTCCATCCAAGAAGGACCGCACAGGCCTGGCACATGACTGGCACATGCCGCGCACATGCGCGCACATGACAGCGCAAAAACGGCCGCACATACACCCACCCAGGGGTATAGATGTGAGTGCGGTGTAGGCGAGTCCGGGCGCCCAGGCGGCTTTTCCCCTTCGACCTCGGCCCTCGCAGGGGGCCCCTCTACAGTAGGAGCTCGACCACAAGAAACCTTCCACGAGAAACCCAACCCTGAGACCCCAGGACGTCCATTCGTTGTGGTGTGGGAACGTCACGCTGTCCACAGCGAGGCCATCGTCACCCAAGAAGCCCAGGGTTATACTGTTGGCTTCCAGCTGCATACTAGTCGCACGCAAATCTTGGAAACGGCGCCCCAGAGACACGCAGATAATCAAAACGCTGCAACGACACGCGCCTCAAAAACAATCTCCGACGACATCGAGTGTCCGAAAAAAATCATTCAAGCCCTTGCAAACGACATCGGTTGCCCCAAAAAAACAATCTAGGCCCTTGCAAACAGCACGCGCTGTTCCGAAACAACAATATGCCATGTAATGGTTTTTCCGATTGTGTATTTTGATCCAACAATCATCACATTCCTTCTCCTCTCGCCGACCCCCTTGCCACCCGCCGCTCCCTCCGCCACCCCCCACAGACCCCCAGGGGGGCGCAGGGCGTTCCAGGTGGGCCCGAGGGTGATTCGCGAACGCTACCCCTCAAAAAACATAAATCACCCCAGCCACCTGGAGGACCATATTATATAAAAACATGGTGCTGAAGAGGCCTGGAGAGGCGGGGACGGGCGGACAGTGAGGATGAGGGTGGAGGGATGAGAAGAGAGAGGAAGAGGACATTGTGCGATCGAGTTGCGTCGGTCAGTTTCTCTGGGCGGCCCCGCAAGGCCCGCTCGTCATTCTCTCTGGCGCGGCTGTCTCTCTGGGCCCGCGCGGGGCCTCGATGGTGAGCGCAGGGTGTACCCTGCCGCTGCTCAGAAAACGCTGGCTCGAGGGGCCCCTTTCGGGTTCGGAGAAGCTCTCGGGAGCGAGGGTCGAAACCATCATCATGCTGTAGGCAGGTCCTGAGGCCTAAGCGCCCCCCTCCTGGGACCTCTCGGCCGCGGGACCCCCCGACGCCGACCAGCGGCTCGGCGACGGATGAGGGGTGGGATAGTTGAGTGGAATTGGGAATGGGGAGGGGGAAGGTGGACGAACGCGGAGGGCGGGGGGGGACAGTGACAATTGCTTGCATGGGGGAAGGATCAGAGGACGAGGAGACGCAGGATGTCTGGGCTGGTGGAGGTGGCGGTTTGGAGGAGGAGGGCCCTTCCTCCTCCAGGCTCCAGGCGCCAGGCGGGGCAACGCGGTCGACGATCCCACGGGCGTCGAGCATCTCGCCGCCTATCTCCGCCCTCTGCGGGGGCGAAGGGCGGGACGTCACACGGCGTCGTGGACCACCCCTTGCGTCGAGGCGAGCACGACGCCCCAAAAAAGCAACCCAACGGCACTTGGATGCATCCAGGAGCCGTCGACACAGCAACTCCATCATCGACCAAACTTCCCGTCCCAACAACCTGCTCAACTCAAATAATGATATAACCACCCCTGCTACCACTGAGCTATCACACTGGTCCCCCTGTCCTGCCTCCCTCCCGACTCTGGTCGAGCGAGCTGCGGGCACGCCACGTCTGAATGGCGGCGGCCATCACTTGAAGACCAGCGCGTCGCTGGCCTTCTTGGACAACACCGATGGCACGATGTCGCCGAGCCCCTTGTTGAACTTCGCCAGCTCCGACTGCACCGCCATCGCAGCCTTGCGCAAGGCCACCTTGTCGACCTGCTCCGAAAATGCCTTCAGAAGGAAGGCGGACGCCCAGACCAGAATGCACGTGGCAGCGAGCTGCTTGCCTTCACTGAGGACCGTGCCCTCGACTTGCAGCTCGTACTTCTTGGCCCACTCGGCGATGCGGCGCGCCTCCTGCGGGGCGACCCGCGAAATGCGAGGCCGCGCACGGGGGCGGGCTCAAGGACGAGGGGGGCACCAGAAACACAATGCCACCAATGGGGGCTGACAACAGTGAATGGCGCTGAGGGTGGAGAGAGAAAACCGCCCTCATCTCCCTCATCGTTCTCCTCCCCCCTCCTCCCACTACGTCCTCATCTTCCTCCCCCCCCTCCTCCTGAGAAGCGGGCGGTTGGGCGCCCGTCGCGGTCCTCCACGGCTGCCGCGACCTTCTTGCGGAGGCCAACGGCGACGCCGTCGGCCAGCAAAGTGGCCACCCCCACGCTCTTGATCTTGTCCCACTTCTCCGTGGCACCTGACGCGGACAGCCCGTCCACCCAGTCGGCGCCGTTCTTCAGGCCGCCCTTGAGTCCGTCCAGCTCCGCCAGGATGCCGCTCTGGTACTTCAGCACGAGGGCCTTGAGGCCGTAGTTGGCAACCTCGTCGACAAGCGTGCGCGCGACGGTACACTGCACCACCGCCATGTCCACCAAGGCGGCATCACCTACGACGTCGGGGAACGAATCCTTCTGCATGAGCGAGGACAGCGCGGTGGTGCACCCCTTCAGCCCTGAGAGGCCGTCGCACTGGTACGCGGCGTCGAGATCTATGCCGTTGCCGTCGCCCGCGGCGTGCTTCGCCTTGAACTCCGCCAGGCGAACTGCCAACGCATTGTGCTGCCTGAGGACGTCCACCACACCCTTGTGGATGACGCTCTGGGGCATGATGTCCAGGGCGGCAGCGAGCGCGTTCAAAGCCGCAGTGCGCATCGCCTCGCTGTGAACGGACACGTCGATAGCTATTTTGGTGCACCTGGCGGCCAGCGTCTCCAAGTGATGCTGCACGGTCTCGCTGACGGCGACCGAGCCCCTGACCTGCTCCATGCCGCGCTGCGCGGTCTCCATGATCTCCTGAGTGAGGTCGGTCGCATCGGCAGCAGCCTGGACTGCGATAGCGAAGCTGGCGACCGTTGCTTGTGACCTCAGAGAGGCGATCAGGTCGGCGGCTTCGGACTCCGCGTCGAGGAAGCACGGCAAGTCGTGCCGCACGAGACGCTGGTACGACACCATCTTGCTGAACGCTTCCGCCTCTACCTCCGAAGCAGCGTCGTGATGAGCGCGATCCAGAAATCTCTTGACGACAACCTCTGCTTTCATGAGGGCCCGACCCTTCAAGCCGTCTCCGAACATCGAGCCAAGGGCATCCACCATAGCCAACATGTCTTTGGCGATGTTCCCGTGGCACTCGAGCACCTTACGCCATTCCTCGGTCGAACTGAGGGTCGTGAGGTCGTCGGCCGTCAGCGCCGAATGTAGGTATGCTAACTGGCGGCCCATGGACTGCATCCCCTGCGACGCCTTGGATAAGTCGGACAGCAAGTCCATGTAGACGGGTGTCGCGCTGATGGACCTCACGATCCTTGACACGATCGGGTCGGTGGACTTCTGATCGCTCAAGAGGGCGACGTGGACCTTGACCTTCTCAGAAATGTCGTCCAATGTCATGGCAGATGCGTCGCCCGTAAGAAAAGCCAGCGCGTCGAATGCCTCCGACAAGGAACAGAAGAACCGCATGTACTCGTCGGGCATATCCTCAGCAACAACGAGGGCGACCCTCTCGCGGGCCGCTGACAAAGCGGCAGAGAAAAGCTGACGCGACTCGTCCCCTTGCTGCAAGATAGGGCAAAGCCAACTGTCCATGAACGACGTCATGAACGAGTGGATCTTGACAGCCGCCTCCACGTCCAGAGCGCACAGCCGCGGCGAATCGCTGTCGAACTCGTCGTCGCAGCTGGGGTCGAAGGGCAAACAATCGCCGAAGAACGTGCTGAAGGTAGCTGCATCCCGTACGTGGCCCATCGACTTCTTCGCAGCCCTCATGCAAAGTTTGAGGTTGACAGCGGGTGGCAGCTTCCCGTCAAAGTGGATCATGTACCTGACTGCCTTCGCCACCTCGGCGTCCGTGAAGCTGTCCTGATGCCGAACTGATACGATGTGTGCCATCTCAAACTTCGCGATCCTGGACTTCAAGTCAGACATCCCGTTGCCCCACTTTGCGGCGTTCTCAGAATTTTCACGCACCCACTTCTGGGCGTGAGACAGCAAGTTCCCCAAGTTCCCCTGCAGCATCTCAGCCTCGCAATTCAGGTTCGATATGTGCTTGTACGGGCCCTGGCGCATATCACTCACGCTGCCCGTCGCACTGACATTGCCGACCTGAGTAGACCCCGCGACCGATGCAACGTCATCCAAGATGGCAATGTCACCTGCGCTGCCAGGCGACGCCTCCAGAGGGGCTGCAGGCATCTTCTGCACGCGCCTCCGCTTGTTGGCACCCCCAGCAGCATCCGCGCCCTTGCCGAAAGCGGACGGCAACTGGATCACGGGGGCCAGGGCCAGGGAGGCGTCGAGCGCACCGCCGCCGCCGCCAATCGCCGCCTCGAGGCTCTCAACAAGGCCGCCACCTGCATGCGCCGCTGCGGCAGGCGGCGTTGCCTCATCAAACTCAGCGGCGGGGGCGTCGTGGCTGCCAACCGCCTGGTGCGGGTCGATCGGGGGCAAGCCGTATTTCTCTCTGGTGTCGTTGATGGTTGGAAGGTCCTTGCCCACCACGTCGAAGTCGAACTCAGCATTCTGGTCGGCAAGCCCCTTGTTGTAAAAGTCCGCCACCTGACCAAGGTAGAAGACGTCTTCTGGCCGCACAGGGGTCGAGCCAGCGGTAACCTTGTGGAAGGTGGTGAAGCTCATTGTGCGGCGTGCGCCAGGAAATACTTCAAACAACCATACCTTTTCCTGTTCACCAGAAGTCGCACCACGAACAGGCAGCATCATCGTCGGGTGGTGGCGCACCAAGCGCTGCAACGGCTCCTGGCCGTCATGGTGGTACTTGAACTCAAGCCTGTTCAAGATGGCAACCTTGCGCTTCACCTTGACCATGCTGCCGAAACCGACCGAGACGTTGTCCCCCTGCCCCATCTGGCTGACCGTGTCGAGCGAGGTGCGGTTGGCGCGGCTGGCCCAAGCCGCCTCCGCCTCTTGGACTTGCTGTCTGAATGTGCTGTCCTGGGCAGCCCTGCTGTTCTTGCGGGCGATGACCTCGTTGATCGGCATGTGCGAGAAGACGCGGATGTAGAGCTCGGCGATGCTGCGCGTGACGGCCGCGGGGTTGCCATCGCCACCAGCGATCTGGATCTGCGGGTTCTCCTCGGGATCGGGGGGGCGCGAATCGGACAAGCAGAGGGCCGAAGCCAGCAAGCCCCGCGCTTGCCTCCCTGTCAACAAGTCGACTGTCGAACCCCACCGACATCAACGATGTCACGAACCCATGGAACAACACCTGGAGCCCCTGGGCTGGATCGAAACAACTGCCTGGCCGAATCGGGTGACCGTCGAAAACATTCGGCTACACGTAGCTCTCGGACGTCGGGCGGCGTCGGCCTCGGACCCTTCAAAAGCAGCTCCAGAACCCACGGCACAGGACAACTTATCACGAGTGGCCTGCATAACTTGGAACTCCCGATGAAGGGGTCGCAATACCCTGAATCCCAAGTTGTCGCACTTCCCTACGCGAAAGGCGAAAGCCGAAACCATGCCAACATAATGCGGCCGCGATCGAGGAACGCAGCGGCAACCCACGACCACATCACCACTACGAGAAAAGACAACCTCGCATTCCACTGAGCTCATACAGGCGCGGCGGGTAAAGAGGACAAGGGAAATGAGGATGGACTTGGAAGGGCGGAGGTGGAGAGGGCAAGCATGGGGTGGAAGACAGTCGGTGCAGGGCATTGCTAAGACACCAGCCCCCCGTTCCGAAGAGCGGCCCGATGTTAGTTTCACGTAGGAAGGTTCCAAACCTTCAATGTTGCGCGGGGCGGGGAGAACATATCGAGAACTGGTGTTACATGACGTTGGGAGGGTGCTGGATGAGGGCGACGCTTAGGACGGTCATGCGCGCGCGTGCACGTGCAAGTTTGCATGAATACATTGCATAGGCCGTCTGGGGAACGGTTGCCACGTGCAGCTGCATGCGCTGCACCCTGGGTTTGTCAATGAGCGAAGCGACGGTCAAACAAGTGAGGTGGGCGAGACGCGCGCCTCAACGGGGGCATGGGTCCAGAAGGAGAGAGCACGCACATGCGCGGGAGGAGCACGATTTGTTCCTTGGCCCCGCTCACTCGCACAAGGAATGCCCTGGCGCACGTCTTGGGACATGTGTTGGACGAGACCCGTGCTGGGTCCTTGGCAGGCTCTGCAAGGGCACCCGCAAGGCGCCCAAAGAGTTCCCAGAGGCCCACAAGAATGCAACAAGGAGGGCCCGTGGCCAAAGGGGGGCGCCTGATACCTGTTTGGAGCCAACGTCAAATCCTAGTGTGGCGTTATGATGCATCTCGCACGTCCTTCGCGGGGCCCTCGCTGCAACTCTTGGGGGGGGGGGCTCTTCGCTCTGGGTCAAGCACCATCGGCTGTGCATCGGGCCCTCTAACTCACGCGGGCTGCTGCGTTGTTGTGCCCATAGGGTTGAGCCCGACGCGGCTTTCGCTTCAATTTCTCAGGGTGCCTGCCAGGGGCGCCGAACAAGCAGCCCAGAAAGGCAGCGCGCAATCACATCAGGTCGGCTATAGGCGGCCCCATAGGCGAAGCCATGAACATGTAACGCGTGTCGGACGTGCTGTTCGTGCAATCCACAGGGGGGGGCATCCGAGGCGCGATGCGCAGCATGAAGCCAGGGGGGGGGACACAGGTCCAATATTTCTTCAAGAGGGGCATGGCATGTCCCATGAGGGGTGAGCAGAGGCGGCTGTCAAACACATATCGCATGTGTTGGGGCTGCGGGCCGTTGAATACACATGGTGCGGCTTGGGGTTCATTCGAGATCCCTGGGGGGTCGCAGAGAGAGCCCCTAGGGTGGCCAGAACGAGTTCCCAGCGACGCCCCAGAAAACACCGACATACCCACAGAGAGGTCCAAGACGGCCCGCGAGGCGGAGGCGGGCAGCGCACAAGGGCGATATTGAGGGGGGATCCTCATGCCAGCTTCGAGCCCCCAGAGGGCAATGATGATCCCCCTGCCTCGGCGCGCGCCCAGAGGGCAATGCTCGCGCCCCGAGGCAGGAGGATCAGCATTGCCCCCCTGGGGGGCCGGAGCTAGCACGATGTTCCTCCCAAGTTTCGCCCTGGGCCCCCCCTGGGCTCCTCTCATGGCCACAACAGGGTCTCAAGAGGGTTCATCAGGACCCCAGAAGGGGCCTACAACCTGTCACAAACACTGCCCCTTTTCGTAACAGGTTGTTGGGCCATAGTGGAGCACCCGTTGGTTCCCCATGGGCCCTCATTGGCTCCTCGCAGGCCCCCAAGAAAGCCCCAAGAAGGCCAAATAACGCTCGCAAAGGGGCCCACAACCTGTCACGAATACGGCATCCGCTCGTGACAGATTGTCGGTCCCCTTTGGAGCCTCATCGGCGCCCCCTTGGGGCCCCCGCGCGCTCCTCTCAAAGCCCCAAGAGGGCCCAAAGAGGGCTCAAGAGGGCCCCCAAAGGGGCTTACAACCTGTCGCGAAGACGGCACCTTGTCGTGACAGGTTGTTCGGTCATCTTGGAACCATCTTGGGGCCTCCCCGGGCCCCTCGCGGGCTCCTCTCAGAGCCCCACGAGGGCCACAATAGGGCAAACAATATCCCAAAAGGGGCCATCAACCTGTCGCGAAGACTGTCCCCTGTCCGCGGCGGGTTGGCGGACATTCTTGGAGCATTCTTGGAGCCCCCCTGCGGCCCCAGCGTGCTCCTCTCAGGGCCCCAAGAGGGCCCCGCTTCGCAGTTGCCATGCACCTGGCAAGTGCAAGGGCGAAGCTGGGGAGGATCATCATGGCAGCGTCGAGCCCCAGAAAGGGCAATGATGATTATGCTGCCTCGGCGCGCGCCCAGAGGGTCATGCTCGTGCCTCGGGGCAGGAGGGTCACAATTGCCCTCTGGCGAGCTCGAAGCTGGCAGATGATCCTCCCCAGCTGCGCCCTTGTCATCGTCAGCCTCCAGCTCCACAAGACGGCCTCAATGGCTCCCCCAGGTCTCCAACGGCAGCGTGGCCACATTGGGCATTCAGGCCCGCATGCGGCAGCAAGTGGAACGGAACCAGGCATCTCCTGAAGTGCGGCGGGCGGTCCCATGCACACGTGTTAGTAGCCCCGAGGCGTTGTTTATTGTTTAGACCACCCTGCTGATGTCTTGGTGGCGTCGGGGGGGGGGGGCTACATGTCCGTCTTGGGGGCATTGGGGCGGAGGGGTGCTGCCCAATATCATAACCCCATCGTTTCCTCTGGAACGGGTGTCGCATCGACTGCCTCCTACCTCCTATGTTACACTGGCAGTGCGAGTCCGACGTCGACTGCACGTGAACGCTCTCGGGGGCAGCCTGGCCCAGACCAGCTCATATAACGCTATGCGACGGGCTCTACGCCACTGGCCGCAAGCCCCGCTTGCACGGGTAGAAGAGAGGAGATAGGGGTATCGGTTGGGGCGCCGTGATGGCAACGACGCGTTGCAATCGAAGAGGAGTGGAGAGAAAGGCGAGGCGATGGAGTGCAACAGAGCTCAGGCGCGTCGGCACCCCCCCCAGCAGGCCTATGTCAATGACATGTCCAGCCGATATCACGCCAGGGCAGCTCAATCACTGTCGGAATTGCTTGAATCTTGGCTGTCAGCCAGGTCAACCTTATCATTGCCGTCAGCCCCGAACGGCTGGCGAATCGGCAGAATCACACTCGGCTTGACAATGAGCAAATCGATGCGGGGCCAGTACTCTGACGGGGGAATCGGCTCCGCTCCAACGTAGCTGTGGCTGAAGTAAGAGTGGCCGACCTCGAGCGGGATCTTGACACCACCAGGGCCGCCGCCCACACGGGCGGCATCGGGAAGTTCGATGCGACTGCGCCTGATGTGGCTCGGCTCGATGTCGGGCAGCGGGATCGCGCGGCGGTAAATCGGCGGCAAGGTCTTCGGGCACGGGACCGTGTTGGGCGTGAACCCGAGGTTGTGGTCGTACTCATGGTCGTCCTGTAAGAACTCGTCTTCGGAATACGCAGTGGTCAAGCGGTCCCACTCGTAGTCGTTCTCGCCGTTGGCGTCGTGTCGCGGCGCCGTCGTGTCGTCGCCGCCGTCGGTCAGGGTGCCTTTCTGCACGTTCGACTCGGAGTGGCGATCGGCTAGCTTTTTGAGCTCGGACCTCAAAGCACCAAGGTCGCACTCCATGGCGTCGGCGCGCTTCTCGACTATCTCCAAACGCTGCTGCGCCTCTCGGGGCGCTCGAAAATGCGCCACCCCTCTCCTCATCCTCCTCCCCCTTCTCCTATACCCGAAGCCACTCCACCCCTCCCCTCCTCTCCCTCCTCCTCCTCCCTCCTCCCTCCTCCCCCTTCCCTCCTCTCCCTCCTGCTCATCTCCCTCTCCCTCATCCTCCTCCTCCCCCATCCTCCCTCCTCCTCCTCTCCCTCCTCCCTCCTCCATCACCTCCTCTCCCTCCTCCTCCTCCTCCTCCTCCTCCTCACCCTCCCCACCTCCTCTCTCGCTCAATCGATCCCGCTCATAAGCCGAGCCTCTCGCAACAGCTCGTGCAATCTCTGCTTTTTCGGCACGTAGCCGTCCTCGGAGGGCGTCTCTGGGCGCGAATGGTCGGGCACAGGGGGGCGATGCAAGGGCGCGGGGTCGACCTCCATCGACGCCATCGGCCTGTCGGGCCTTGTGGGTAGGAAGGAGCGGGCGAGCTGCGCGCCTGGAAGCCCAATGGTGGGCGTCGGCGGAGATAAAGTTAGAACGTGCTGAAATTGCTGCGGCTGGAGGAAATCACGAGCGGGCAATCGGCAAAGTTGATCGAGGGCAAACGGCGAGGCCAGGCTGTTCGCCACATCCGACCCAGGAGGAGGAGGAAGCGAGGCAGGTGAAGGAGGAGGAGGAAGTGAGACCGTTCGCCAAATCCGACCCAGGAGGAGGAGGGAGCGCATGGAGGATGAATGAGGCAGGTGAAGTTGGGGAGAGCGAAGGGCGGTGAGATACTTGATGATCGATGCAAGGGAAAGAGAGACTGAGCGGGGGGAGGGCCAGGGCAAGAGCTGGTGCGGGGGAGGGGACACTGGGCCTATCTAGTTCGAAAGACCCTGCTGCAAGCAAAAGCGATGACAGAAAATATAAGGCGGTCCTCGGTGAACTTGGCCCTGCTCCACGCGCACTGGCCAGCGGGCGTGGCGTGCGTCGCCCTCTTGGGGCTGGCCGCGCTCTTCGCCTTGCCCGCGTTGCCGCCCCCGTTGCCCTTGCGCTTGCCGTGTCCGCGGCCTCCGCCAGGGCCCCCTGCAATGGGCGACATTGCCTGCTCGGCTGAGGCGGTTGCGATGCAGTTCAGAGCGAAACGAGCTTGCGCACAGCAAAGGAAATCTTGTTTCCTCTAGGGCCTACAACGGCATGCTACGGTGTACCCCGAAGTTACCCAATGCTTGCTTACGCAGGGACCTCCGAGACCCCGATGGGGGAGGGGGGAGACGGGCAGAAAATAACGGGCCCAAGGCGTTTTCAGGTTGGCCCAGCGGGCTATGGGTGGCGGGGTTGAGAAGCCCAACAGGTCTGGAGGTACCCGAGTCGCCGAACAAGAAGGGCCCAAACGGGGGGCGAAAACTATCGGGGAAATCCGAGCAGGCTTGATGTAACTTCGCGAACTCTCATCGGAAGCATGCGGGGTGATCCTTGGGCCTGAGGCTCCTGAGGGGCCCTGGCAGGTGGCCTGAGCGGTCTGGCGGCGGTCGCGCAGGGCCTCAGCGCCTGCCAGGGCGATCGGGGGGGCTGCGGGGCAGGGGGCGCGAGAGCGCGAGGTGGAGGGAATTGAAGGAGAGGGGGGAGGGGTTTGCGATCGACGATGCTCTGAAATCGCATCTGGCTGGACCGCTTTACATGCTAAAGGCGTCCCAGGGGCTGTGGCGCGTGACTCTGGAACCCCGACGACCTGCCAAGTCGCCCCCCCGCGTGATACCAGATGCCCAGAAACCCCCTGTGGCGACACCCCGCGTGTCGCATCGGCAGATTTTCGGCCCCGGAAACGCGAATGTATCGAGGATTGGGACCCCCCGCGTGTCGTTCCTGGGGACGACGCCCCTCCGGTGACACCCCCCGTGTCGTACTGGGGGACCAGAAACGCTTCGTGACACGCCTCAAGTCGCCTGGCAGCCCGCCCCGACGCAAACCGTCTGAGGGCCCCCCCCCGCCCCCTTCTGTCGCACCCCACGCTCGTCCCACCCCCGCGCCCTGCCCCAACCCCCCACTGAACTCGCAACCCTGCCACCTTGGCCCCCGATCCAACCCCCTTTCCACTGCTCCAGCTTCGGCACTCGCTCAGACCTCTGATCGAGGGGGGTCTTCTTGACGAGGGGAGCGGAAACTACAGATGCCATAGGGCCCCCGCCCAGCCGCCCTCCCCCTGGCCCTGCAACCCCTCGCAACAAGAACGTCATCTACACCGAAACTGCGTCACCGTTTTTGAACCCACAGCCAAACCCCTCCTAATACATCTGACTCAGCACTATCCTCAGCCCCAGTGCGGATCTCGGATGCATTGACATGCACGGAACATTAATGGTCCAGAGCGTGAGAGACTTATGATACGACCCCATGGGTTTTGTAATATAACGCATTTAAATGCAATGCAGTGCACTGGAGTATGCCTGGGACAACCGCGGCAAGCGCTGCTATGCTATGGCATGCTACAACATATCCATGACGGTGGGATTCTACACGCCCTACCATCGAAAAGGTGCAGCGCGAGCTCACGCACGCATTACCGACAAGTGTGCGTCACGCATTTCCTCACCCAAGCCATGTCCAAGCCACTACGTAGCACCCCGCATGTGCAGATGAGAGTGAGGGGCGGAGGAGGCACGACGGAAGACATGACAGTCTCGACGGGCGGGGGGAGCAAGCACGGGGGAGACGTCTGCCACAGAGGGAGGAGGACGATCGGCCCTTACGCCGACATAGGCTAAGAAATATTCGAGCTCTCGCGTCAACCCCAAGCCCATTGATGCGCATGCCTGGAGCGCGCTGGAAAGCCTTGAAGCAAGCTCCGAGAAGGCTCTGAGAGAGCTCCAAAAGGTGCCCAAGAGGTCTCCAGGACGCCCCCACCACAATGAATATGCCATGGAACCACCTATGTTTAAAGAGCGTGGGGAAGACAATGCGGGATCATCCTGGCTGCTTCTCATGGCTTTACCTGGCCGCCCTCGAGACTCGCGCGAACCATGCGCGGCGCCGTCTTGGGAAAAGATTCGCGGCATCTTGGGAGCCGTCTAGAGCCGCCTTGAGACCCTCTAAGTACGGGTGACGGCAAGCACGCAGAACAGAACGACGTCAAGACGCATACCAAGCCACGATCCCCAAGGACCCGAGAACAACGACGGGTCCAATACCCTTGCATGAGGCCCCTAAGGGGCCACCCGAACATAGCAAACCAACAAACACTGAAACACATACTGTTCAAAACTGATGTTTCTCGAATGCGGCATAACTCGTGCTGGGAGCTTCTGTGGCGAGGAAGGTGCGCGCCTCGAACGAAACGGCTGGGCGGATTGCGAACTACCGTCGCCGCAACAGTCCAGCGGACAGTCTGGTCAGCGCGACGCCAAAGCTTCGGCTCGCCCCCATTCTGACCAGCGCTGACCGTCCAACAAATTGACTGCAACTGCTGCGGGCTCAAAAACAAGTTCAACCATACCACTTCGAGAACCACCTCGGCCACGCGCCGAGGGACAGGGTAAGACCGCCCCCCTCACCACGTTGGTGCGACGGCGCTGTGGGACTGCGCAGGGAAAAAAAAACTTCTCCTGGCTAAATCACGTGACTCGAACCTGCGGGCTCCTCGCCCTCGTCAGGGCGGAGGGGCCGCTCCTTGCTAGCGAGCAGCTCGCCGTTGCGGAGTGCTTTCAAGCGCTCCCGAGCAACGCAGCGTTGCGCCCTGCTGATGCCCGCAACGAAAAAAGCATCCTGGTGCGCGGCCTTGCAGTCGCACCCTTCGGCGACGAGCCACGCGGCCATGAGGCCGATGGGGCGGCCCTTCGGGCTGCGCAGCCGACCCGCCAGCCCCCCCCCCCCCGCGGGGCTCATCAAGTGGCCTCCGCGAGGCCGAACCTACCAAGAGAGAGGGGTGGCGCGGGGGCGGCTGCAAGAACGGACGAGGTTGTCATGATGAAAAGGGCGGGGGAGGGCCCACGGAATTGTCTGGGCCCAATGCAGACAACGGGGGGGGGGGCGGGTCGCATGACTGAACATCTCACTGAGGCCCCGAGGGTGCACCAACGCACCACCCCCCCACATCATACCACACTGCACCTGTTCCATGCGCGCGTCTACGACGACTCTGCGGGCATCGCCACAACCGTTGCTGCCAGCCCTTCCAATGGGGGGGTGGCGTGGGCTACGAACGGTGCCTCAAGTGGGTCACCCGAGGGATGGCACCGAGAAGGGGGCGCGAGTCCCGCGGCATGCGCTCACAAAAGCACCGAAACACATCAACTTACCTCCCCGCCCAACCACCCAATAAACGCCAAGACGGCCCCCGTCCCAAACATAGGCTGCTCTGCACCAAGATACACACCTGGTGCGCCAAACGAGTCCGCCGAAGCCCTTAAGCATCTGCCCAAACCATCCCCCGAAGGACCACTATCTCCCTCGGTGGTGGGCGCGGGAAGCACGGCCGCAAACACTGCCACAGTGGTGTCCATGGTTGTGTTTCAATGCATCCCAGGGGCCGAGGTTTGGGCCGCACGAAGGCCCCGACCAATATAGGCCTGGCATGGCCCCGACGCAACGGATCTCTGATGTAGCAGCCTCCCCGAGGCCATCGCCATCCACCGCCAGACCCCTGCCCACCGTGTTGGTCAATGTGCATGCGCGCGAAGCGTGTGTGATCGACATAATACCTAGTCATCCTGCACGGCTTCTCACGGTCGGGCGCAAAGTGGCCGCGAGCGCACGTCGCCTCGAAGCGGCCCTTCTGCGTCGCCGTGGGAGGATAGTATCTGATAGCCCCGCCACCTGGCACACGAACTGTGACGACCCCAGGGGGGTCAGGAGGATACTCGTCAACCTGCCCATCATCGTGAACCTCTAGGTCGCCCTCCATGGGCGGTTCGGGGGGAGGCTCCACGTCGTCGATGGCGCCACCCAGGCCGTCGTCGCAGTCGGACTCGCTCCCCCCGTCGGCGCCGCCCTAGGACTGCTAACAGCTAGACGGTTTCAGCATGTGTGTGTGGGTACCCCTCAATCGACGACGGTCGGGGAACGTAGCATTGGTTACGATCGTTTCTAGGGCGAGCCCGCCATAGAGGACCTCACGCGCGAGCCAGACACACCGTGCGACGCGTGCGCATGTCGAATCGCACACGCACGGCGCACGCGCGATCACACGCATGCGGGAGTCCAGGAGGCGCGTGCGTTCGCTCGCGCACGTGTGTATGTAAACTTACCTAGCACACCGCAACATACTGCACGCGCCCACCTACCCGCGCGCGCGCTATACGACTAGGATCACACCCATCACCCCCCATATGTTCGCACCATCGCGCCCGAATGCATCACTGCAGCGGCCACGCAGCACGAGGCCGCGCTGTAGCGCGATGCATAGCGGGCGCGACAGGGAGCGAACATATTCCAAGTTCAGGGTGGGTTTCGACCACATGTTACCGAGCTT